CGCCGCCCGCGCAGCACCCGCACCAGCACCACCCCCACCTCCCAGGGGCGGCCGGGGCCTTCCTGCGCTACATGCGGCAGCCAATCAAGCAGGAGCTCATCTGCAAGTGGATCGACCCCGACGAGCTGGCCGGGCCGCCACAGCCACCGCCCCCGGCCGGCGGCGCCAAGCCCTGCTCCAAAACTTTCGGCACCATGCACGAGCTGGTGAACCACGTCACGGTGGAGCACGTGGGCGGCCCGGAACAGAGCAGCCACGTCTGCTTCTGGGAGGACTGTCCGCGCGAAGGCAAGCCCTTCAAGGCCAAATACAAGCTCATCAACCACATCCGCGTACACACCGGCGAGAAGCCTTTCCCCTGCCCCTTCCCGGGCTGCGGCAAGGTCTTCGCGCGCTCGGAGAACCTCAAGATCCACAAGCGCACTCATACAGGTGGGTGTCTGTCCCCGTCCGCGCCGCTGCCACAGCTTCCTGCGCTGCCGCCGCTTCCTGCGCCGCCACAGCTTCCGCCGCTGCTTCTCTTACTCCTCTTGCTCGCCTTTAATTTTTCCCTCCTTCTGCTGCTTCTCTTCGCATATGTATAACCCGGACATGTGACTTCTTTTTTTTCTCTCCCCCTTCTTTTTTCTATGAATAAGTAATTCGATAGCACACACAGGCCCCGCGCTGGGTTCCCCCACGGCGGAGTCTCCAGCGCGTCCGCAGCCCCTCCGCCGGGACCGGCAACGCGCTCCAGCCGCCTCCGCAGCCGCCCGGGAGCAGAAGCAGCAGCAGGAGCAGGAAGGTGCCCAGGACTGTCGGCAGGCCCCTTCCGTCCAGCCCCAGGAACTCGGGAGCACGGCGGGGAAGGGGGTGCACCTGGGCCGGAGCCGCCCTGACGGAGCCCCCATCCCCTAGGCCGCAGACCCCACGCGGTCTCCGCGATCCTGAGAGCGGTCGTGGGAGGGGTGCGTGGGGGATTTGCTGCCTGTATTGGGGCCACCCGGCCGCGTTCAGTCTCGCCCCTCCTGGAGGGGAGGGGTTTCCGTCTTTCTGGGGCAGGGTGCGAAAGTCGAGGAGAGGAGCGTGCACTAGGAGACCCTACACACACACACACACACACACACACACACACAGACACAGACACAGACACACACACACACACACACACACACACACACACCATCCTGCACATACATTTTCACACGCACATACCAAACAACTTCACACACCTACGGTCACTCATACTCCCCCGCCTCCCATTCACTGGACGCCCATATGCCTTCACACATTTACCTGTCATGTATACTCACACACCTCCTCATTTACACATCCTCATTCATACTTACACTCCCTGACACACACACACCGTCACACAGTGCCCTCTTACACATTTTTTCACACATGCCCTAGAGAATGCTGAATGAGTTGGCGTCTGACTTTAAATAAGATTCTAGTTGAGGGAGAACGAGGAGGACGCAAGGCCGCCGGCGCGGTCGGTGGAGTCAACCCTGCCCTGGATCTTGAGGGAAGCCCTAGGCGCCGTGGGAATCCCTCCCATCTTCCCGAAAGCCCTGCCTGTGGGTGGTGTCACGACCCCGGGTGAGGGAGGATGCGGCGTGGGGGTGGGATCGCGCCTGTTCGTGGCGGTCCCCCTTTGAACGGATGAGCGAGTGGGATGGAAGCGCTGCTGAGCGCTGGCGCAATCGGAATTTATAGGGACAGACAATATTAGCCCTCCGAGGACACTTAAGTAACTGGAGTTTACGTTCAGTAATTACTTGGCTGATTTATCGGCACTGCCGCGACGAGAGGAGGCAGCCACTGGGCACGGGCCTCAACGCCAGGCCAGCGGCGTTGATTTGCAGGAAGAGCCGGGTCGGGGCGTAGCCAAGGCTGGAACCGCGGGCCTTGCTCCTGTAGGCCCACACTTGACAGCAATCTCTCTCCAGACGGGGCTGATGATGGGCTGGGAGCACGGTTTTCAAGGAGCCTCGTTTTTTCTAACTGGGATCGGTCTGCCTTAATGATTTTTCTGAAAAGAAACTTCCCGCGAGACCCCAGTAGAAACCCCCTGACCTGCTAAGGCAGCTGTTTGCCCCTGCGCCCAGCATGTACCCACGGCCAGTGAGCATGGGGGAGCCGGCGGGGCGCGGGTGGTGAAGGCTTCCCCAACCCCGTCCCAAAAGGGAAACCGAAAAGCCGTGCCGGCGGCCTCAGGCTCGTTCCGCCTTTCCAGGCCTCCGAAGGGAAGTGAATCTCCTCTGGCTGCCGGGAGCTGAGGGCAGTTTCCGCTCCCGTAAAACCGGGAACTGAACATTTTATGGCGTGGAAGCTAAGCCGGAGTCCAAGGCTTCCGGCACCTGCCCGGCGCGGCCTCGGCCGGGCCCCACCCCCCGCGTCGGCCCGGCGTGGGGGCGGGAGACCCTGGCCACCCTCCCCGGCGCAGCATGCTCAGCCAGGCGCTGAGGGCACCCACGCGGGCTTGGTTGCTGGCTCCACTTCGTGGGGGCCGTTGCATTTGCCGCCCCCTCTCCGTGGACCCCGCTGGTGAAGAATGCCGGAGCCTTCAGGCCTTTCACATTCAAGCTCTGAAACTCGGTGCCTGTTGTTTTTTGGGGGTTTTTGGGCCGCTTAGCCATAGGGCATTGTATCCAGAGAGGACCTATCCTAGGACTTCCATGTCACTCTCCCCACCACACCGCTTTCCTTTTTGGGGGTATCAGGGATCCCGGAACAGATTGATCTAAGAGAATAATCCCTGAGCCACTCCTGAAGGCCCGTTTCCTGATCCACGTGCCTAAACCAGTTCTACTGATAACTTTCCTCTGCGCCAAATTCAAGTTCTCTCAGAAATGGTAGGATCTGGGAGTTAACCTACAAATGGCGTCCCCAACTTTCTGACGGGCACCACATCTCTAAAACTCTGTAAATACATGGTTAAATTCTGACGTGACCCCCCTGTCAGAATCTGAATTGTAAACACGGGGGTCTTGCGGCCTTTCTAGTTTGGTAGAATTCGCTCACTGCCCCGTTAGGCCCTCTGAATAACATGGGCAATTCTATTACCCTTTTCTTTTTTTCTTCCACTTTTTTCCTCTTTATCCCTAATTTTCTACCTTTTCTTTCCTCCCCATTTCTCGCTCTCCTGGGTCTAATTGCTTCCCTTTATCACGTGCAGTGGAAGGGCCAGTAATGTTCAAAGGATTTATCTTTCACCATCCAGGATATGTAGGTTGTACAGAAATATGAGAATTCTAAAAAACAATACTGCACCTGTGCATTTTGTGAATAAGAAAAATGACTTAAGTCTCCACGAAGAAGGCTGATTATCATGTTTTTTTTTTTGTTTTTTTTTAAAGAATGCTGTGTTAAATTAGTATTATCTCCAACTTAAAATGGAATACAGAAATCAGGAAAAATAATTGATATTTTGATAAAAGTGAATTTGTTGCATCATATCCACAGAGAATTTTTAAAGGCTGTGATCACCATTGGGATCGCTGGGTTTTTTTCTCTACTCACAGCTCAGTGTAGGAGGTATATTTGAATAATGTCTAATTTCTTTTGTGAACAAAATTTCCAGGGAAAGTAAGGTATATTCTAGGCATCTGAATACCATCAATGTGCTTACCTGTTGGGGTACTGAAGCAATTGTTATTGGTGAAATGTTAAACAAACAAAAAAAACTACTGAACATTTGTACAAAGAGAGTAAGAAAATTCACCATGGCATTTATGTACCCTAAGCTGAGTCTTTATAATAGAGTTTTGTTTTTTAACAAATAAATTATCCAAAATGAAGAAAAGGGCCATACCTAGTGTGGCACCAGAGTAGCTTCTGAAATGTGGACAAAGTCAACTTTATTTTTTAAATCATCTAAACATAAAAGGAAAATAATTATTTTACAATAATATGTGTCACTTGTGCAATCATGGACTCAAATACATAAAGCTTATAGATAGTAAGTTGAGAGAAAAAATTCGGTGATTCTGTTACCTGCTTTCTTCCTTATTTGCTTTTTAACAGCAAGGGGTAGTGTGGCTGAATTTCTCTAGTTATAGAATAAGTTTACTTCTGGCATCAGGTAAATGGTAGGCTTTGGCTTGTAGTCTTAATTTGCTAAGGTCCTGGTCCGCTATGCTCTTAATTGCACAGTAAGTTGTGAAGAAAGCTGGTAGAACAGAGAGGCCAATAACCTATTCTCTGCCCAGCTAGGCTTGTAAAATCTAGTGGTGGGATTGTGTGTTTTACAGTTGCCTTTATTTCTGAAAAGAAAAGGATTGTTTTATTTCGTTTCCTTCCTCAACTCTACAGCCTCCCCTCCTGCCCCTTTCCATCAGTGAAATCCTGGGGAACATTCTAAAACAAAATGCCATTGTTCCCTTATAGTTTTACTGAACCCCCAATTTACTTTTACTTTAGTGTATATGTTTATTTTTCTTTTCTTTTTCCTTATATTCTTTCCCCTAGCTGTGACTTTGGAGGTATCATTTTATCAGTGTTTATCTCGGTAGAGGTGTTTATATGGGACCCTAGGGGAGTTGGGGTGGTTATGTGGGTCCTAGGTGTGTTTCAGTGTTACATCCTGGACCTTGCTCCAGCTGTTCTGAGCCTGACCCCAGTGGTAAACTGCAGGAGCTGACAGTTATACTCTCCAAGCCCAGAGCTGCCACTGTCTAAGAGTGCCCCTAGGCCAATGGACACCAGGCCCATCCCTGAATTACCCTTTCCCCATTTCATCCTGTGACATAGGAATTAGGATCGGAGTTGGGAAAAGGCATCTAAGATTTCTCTGTCAAATGAGAGTTTTCTGGAAAGCAATTGTTAATGTTTTCTGTGTTTTCTTTTCAGGGGAAAAGCCTTTTAAATGTGAATTTGATGGCTGCGACAGGAAGTTTGCCAACAGTAGTGATCGAAAGAAACATTCCCATGTCCACACCAGTGACAAACCCTACTACTGCAAGATTAGAGGCTGTGACAAATCCTACACTCACCCGAGCTCTCTGAGGAAGCACATGAAAATTCACTGCAAGTCTCCACCACCTTCTCCAGGAACCCTTGGTTACTCTTCAGTGGGGACTCCAGTGGGTGCCCCCTTGTCCCCTATGCTGGAACCAACCAGGAGTCGCTCCAGCACTCTGTCCCCTCAGGTCACCAACCTCAATGAGTGGTATGTTTGCCAGGCCAGTGGGGCCCCCAGCCACCTTCACGCACCTTCCAGCAACGGAACCACCTCTGAGTCTGAAGATGAGGAAATTTATGGGAACTCTGAAGTTGTGCGGACTATACATTAAGAATTTATTAATGATAATAAGTAACATAATAAGTGGGAGTCCTTAGACTATATCCTGACCTAAGACAATGCTGAGCCTGTGACAGACCCATGACTCAGACTTGCCACCAGGTCTAATTAGCCCTATTTATTCAGTATGAAACCCTATGGTGTTTGTACATTTAATTAATTTAATTAAGATATTTGGACTTTTTTTTCTCCCTTAAAAAACAAACAACCCAACCAAGCTGGACTTGTCGTACAGTGCAGGGGGACAGAGCTGGGGGCAAATTGTACCAAGGAAAATGATTGGAGAGATTCGTTAATCAAGATACACACTGCCAATGAAATATGTGTTTTTTTAAAAGAAGGAGAGAAAGAATTAAGTCGGTTTCACACAGCAACAAGGCCCTCTGCATTTCCTGGAGTGCCTCTCGAATGCCTTTGACACCATAATATGGGCTGCTTTTGAGCTTCCTCGTTTGGGCCCTAATTCTGCAAAGGCCTCTTGATTGTAAACCACACACTTGCTGCATTGCCAACAGCTCTTGGACCGTACCTATGGTCCAAAAATATTTGTAAAAACCCTTTAAGTTCTAGTGTTTGTCATTTTTAATTGCCACTCTTATCTCTGCTTTCACCTTAACATGGTATTTTTATACAGGATTATTTCTTCGGTACCCTACTTTATGATAAAAAAAAAAAAAAGATACAGCAACCTTAATATATCTCCATATATTTATTGTGCTACTGGGATTGTTCCAGCAAAAGTGGAGAAGAAAAAAGCTGCTGCAATAGATCAACTGTGAAACTGATGTTTTATAAAATAGAAGAAATTCAAGTGCTTTCTTTTCTTGCTATGGCTCTCTCTCTTTTTTTTTTTCTCCTTTTTTAAATCAATCTGAAATCTGAGATGCTGCCTCTCTATTGTGTCCAAACTTCTTGTGTAATAAAGAGATTATGTTTTAGATCTTAAGTTCTTCAGGATGCCAAAATTAATAGTCAAGTCTGAGGAGGTGTGATGTTGGCTCACGCCTTTTTTTTGGGAAGCTGTTTTTAAATCAGGCCAACCCCTCTTTTATACTGTTGTATCAACCTTTTAAAAGTTTTTATTGTTTAATGCCTGAAACTCCATTTTAATGCAGTTTTCCACCTGAGCGCTAAGCACACCAAGCTATTCCATTTGAAAATGACAATGTGTGAAGTGTATGATTTACATTAAAAGAGGGGAGGGAATTGCTATCCATATTAAAATTTTTTAAAAGGTTTATAGTTACCACCAAACACTGATGAATGTGTGACCTTTGCCACAGCTGTCAAGCTGGGAGAAGAAAGGTCAAGGACCTAGGACAATAACTCTTAGTCAATTTATTTTCGGTTGGTACAACACATCTCGTGTGCAAAATGTAGCCCATCATAAACATCGTACAAATATACTAAAGAGCACTAATTTATCCTTAGACACCCTGAAGACACCCCCTCCCCAGGGTTTGTAGAAATTTGTTTCGTGTGCTATGAGTGGTTGATGGAGTCTTGTCATTGTTAATAACTTGTATGTGAACACTATTATTTGTACAGTTGAATTAATTTATTTTCCAGGCATCACTTTTTTTTTTTCCCGGAAGAGTTCAGAGCACACCAAAGAATTATATTATACATTTTGGTGAAAGATTTGTCATATATGATCCATGGTTTATTAAAAAAAAAAAAGAAAAAAAAGAAAAAAATATATTTCTAAGCTTACTTGAATGAACAACGTAAAATGTGAAGACCAGGACTTCCTGCATGTCTTTTTTGCATATTGTGTTGATGAGATTATGTATAGTTTATAGATATATTACTAGTACAGTGCATGGTGCTGTCACTTTGGGGAAAGCCTTTAAATGTTCTCTTCAGATTGTTACCGTGAGTACAAAACATGCAGACCCTCTTTTATAAAGAAGACCATAAAACTTCAATATAAAATAATTCTACATTTTAAAAGTTTATTTGATTTTCATGTTACTCACTTTCAAAGCCCTTTCAAATAGACAAAATAAGAAGGTATGAACTTTGGGGGGGGGGGATAATTTATGTGTTGTAAACTTATTAGAACAAAATATTCCTGATTTATAATGAGTTGTTTTATTTATACAACTTTTTCAATGGTAGTTTGCACTATACTTTATTATGCTACACGTTTATTTATTATGAAACAAAGGAATATGTATTTTATGTATTTTGCCATGCTTAGGTTGACTCTGCCACAGATTTATTGGTTCCTGATACACCTAAAATAAAAACTTAAAATGTGTACCTCCAGTAGAAAGAAAGCAAGAATGATTATGAAGTAATAATTTAATAAAGGTATTCTTCCTAAGTATTGCTTATGTTTTACGTAATGGCATGTCTCTGCCATTTTCTTAGAAGCAGAACAGGTTGATGCAGTACACGTTTAGATTCTCTTCCTTTGGTCTTTTGATTTCATAGATTCTCCCCAAGCAATAAAATATTTTTACAGCTTGGTTTAATTTATGATTTAATCTAGAAAGTGCAATATATGTATGAAGACTAATCCCTGCAGGGATTGCAATACACTAGCATAGATCTTAGGAGTTACCTGCACTCATTTGTTAAATAGCAAAGTTAAAATGAATATCCTTAATGATCCTAAATCAGTGAAAAGCTGAAAAGTGAATTTTGGCATTTCTTTAGTGCCTAGCCTCTAAGCAAAGGAAAAATGGAGGGTGGTGAGAGGCTCCCAGACGGAACGTGAAGGCCAAATCGTTCAGGGGCTGAGATGGGTATTGAGTTAAACGTATCCTAAATAAAGTTGAGTAGTGGGTATCAGGTTACTCTTATATCAGGTAATGAGGGAATAAAATGATTTTATTGTGGTTTATTTGGGGAGTTGAGTGGATATAAGCAACAGCTCAATTTTGGGGCAGGAGTTAAGGAGAAATTAAGTTCGTAACAAAAAATATTCAAGTGGCTTAAACTGGTGTATTTGGCTAGCCCTGTGAACGAAGCTAAACATTTGCTCGTTTTTATCTTAGCTGATACAAAACTGATAAAAGGCAAAGAGTGAAACAATGGGAAGTAATGTCAACAAGAGTTTCTCCAAAAGGTTATAGTGGTTTTTAAAAGGTTTGTTAAATGTAGTAAAGGTGAAACAGGTTGCAAAGAGTTGTTTTAAGCAAGATGACAATAACCAGCACACGAAGGAGAAAAACACTCAGAAATGAGGGCCCCAATCAATGGGAAAACTTATAGCTCTCTAATGAAGTTTCTTGTGAAAAGAAGGGTAACACAAAGCCACCAAGACATGAATCATTCATGGGAAATATAAAAGATAAAAGATATCTGACAATGAGCAGAACCTTGTATAGAGTGTATAAAACAAGTTTCCCCTTCTTATTTTCTGCTTTAGAACGCACAATCTCCCACTCCCAGCGTTCTCTGTCCAGTCTATAGAGTTAAAATTGACCACTGCTCGTCCTGCTCCACTTCAAAGTAATTTAGTCCAGAACGGAAGGCTTGGCGCTTGGACAATCTTCATGGTGTGTTAAGATTTCTATGGCAATTGGCAAGCAAGACGTTCCCATCTGAATATGTCTCAAAGAAAGCCACTTATTGACACTAAGTTGGCTATCATCAAAGGCTTCATCTTTCCTAAGCAAAACGTGGCCCTCGCAAACACTATTGAAATCATTCATCTACCTTTGTTTTCCAAGCTAGGAGACTCTTCAAACACATTTGTAGTTTATGTATATTTTTCCCCATTCAAAATGTTCTTTGGTAAAGCTAATGCTCTAAAACCTAAAGTAGTCAGAAACAGCCCGAGGGCAGGAATTATATTCTCCTGAGGAGCTGGAGATGGCCACAGAAGTGTGATTGCCTTGGGACAGGAGAAGAGAGGGCCCAAACCCCTTGGAAGCTAGGCCCAACTGTGTGCAGACATATTTATATTACAGTCTCATCTTTATGTCCTTCATTTTGTGGAAGCTGTTGGAGATTATTGTAGTTTATTCTAACCACCTATCTGTCTGTCTACCTATCTATCAACTATCTGTCTCTATGAAATGGGACAAGAAATGTTTGCCAGCGTATTTTCTATTCCAGTTTGGTTAGGAAGGCATCGCGGGGGGCGGGGGGTATGGAGACAATCTGGTTTCTCAAATAATCATCCTAAGTCAGAGAAAGAAAGGCAGATTACAAGGGAAACAAAACAACTCAGACACTTACTTATTTTCACTTTGTCACCTCATTACCTGTTTACCCACCCACCCATAGTATACCAAAACAGGACACATGGCCACGGATACCCACTTTTTCAGGTCTAGGGGATGGCGAAGGAGACCCACAGTGAAAATACCCTGGAGTTGCCTGCACACTTCCCTTCCGTGAACAAAAAACTCACACACACACCCCCAAAAAGCCCACGCACAAAGACTGCTGAGCACACATTCACACAGGCCGCAAGTGCCGAATCAGCCAGGGCGTCAGGATTGCTATGGCAATGGGCAGGGCCAGGGGAGTCCCTGGCAGAGCGTCCACCGCGGTTTGAGCCACCATATTAAGATACAGTTGCAGTGACCTTTACTTGCATGCCATATTAGCTCAGTCCATTTTCACCTCCTCAGGTATATATATATATTTCTTTTTATATGTATACATACACATATAGATATGCATAGCCATCCACTTTTTTGTTAAGATTCCCCCCTCCCCACCCCAGAACATCCTAGCTTGAAAGAAAGGAAAGAGGAAGAATGAAGAGGGAAGGAGAGAAAGCCGAGCAGGGGTGAGGGGTGATGCTGGAGGGGGGCAAAGAGGGGCAGGGGTGCCAGAGCCCCAGTTCCTCTTCCTGCTTTCTCCACCTAAGTACTTTTATTTGCAGAGCGATTGTTCTTTGTTTATTTAATACAAGGACTGCGTGAATGGTGAAAAATAAACACGATGAAAAATAACCAAACAGATGATTCCTCCGAGTGAAAAAGCCCGGACTTAATAAAAGTGCGAAGCAGTCACCGCTGAATGAGA